CAAGGCTTGTTGGTGGGATGGGAACTTGTTTTCCATATAGTGTATTATTTTTTTTTGCGAATGTATTGATCTAATAAGGTTGGTTGGGTAGGGTTGAATAAGGTTATGGAGGGTGGGTTGCAGGTGTTGAGGGTTTTAAGCTTATACCATAGGGGGGTGAATCAGATGTAATAGCATGCGGTAGGGTATTATTTTACGGATAATATTTAAATGTCTTGGGCTATGAGAAGAGCGAACGTGTGTGAAAGGAATTAATGCATTAACAGCAACTTTTTTATAGGACAAAGTGTAGAAATAAGGAGGTGTATGGGGGGATATGGGAGAGGGATTTAAGTGAGGGATAAGGAATTTCACTTTAACGGGATTTACGGGAGTTTGAAAGGCAGGTAGTGGGATGAAATGGGCCTGGTTAACCTAAGATGGGTCGGTAGCATGATTGAGTTTGATGAATGTTAATGAGGTATGTCAGGGTTGCAATTTAAAACATTATTTGTTCCGAGTGTTTCAATTACATTCAGTTATATTTGAATTATCGACTTATTAACTAGTATGTGTATATATATATAGCATTGTTGTATGTGGTGTAAGTTATTAAGTATGTAATTTGTAATGTATGGTATGTAGGTGTATTATATATATATATAAATATAATGTATAATGTATGTATTGTATAATTTTACTTTCTTGTATATACCTTTTAAATGGGTTTTTTCCCTCATGAACATTTTCAATGATATTCAATACATAATTTCTATTCGCATTTAAGATTTTGATACAATGTTGTAAATGTCAAAATAGCTTTTTATGTTTCGTTAATTTTCCACTGTATTTTTGTAAGCACAGATGATTTGGTGCCAATAGAACATAGTGTGTTTTGATATATTTGAGTATTGTATTTTTTTCTTTTAATTTTGTCTAATGTTGGCAATACTATGTAGAAGTTTTAAGAGTGTTAAACGAACCTTGAAGTTGTAAGAATGGATGAATTATACGGGTTGATTGAGTAATATATAGACAGACGTTGTAAGTGATATGTGTCAATTAGACAACATACTTTATATACTTATTTATTTGTATGTACCTAATGGTAAATTGAAGTCTGATTTTGAAGGTGAAATGGGTTTTCCTTTTTTATTGTTCTTTTTTTCTCTTTAGGTATGTACAGGTTTATTATGTACACCCACAAATATGGTTAGGGAATGTGGTAAAATTTTCGTGTTGATTAGACATTTAAAATACAGATGCAATACTAGGCTTAGGTTAGGGGGTAAATTTATGAATTGTGGAATGTTTCTTTGATTCAAAACTGCTCTTTATTATACTTTTATTTTTTATTTATTCTAGTTGTAAATTAATGAGCATGGATGATAATTTGAGAAGAGTTAATATAGTGAGTTGATTGGCATGTTTATTACGAAAGTTAACTTATCCACATGTAGCTAGTTTAGGACAATTTTAAGCTTCGGTATCTGATTTTATATGTAGGTAATAGTGGTCATATTTGTTATATTGTAATGTTATTCGTTAATGTTTCAATATCTAATGTAACGTTTTTTCAGTTATTGTTCATATATTGTCATCTTTAGGGTTTTTCCTTTTGTCTATTGTATATTGTTGGTTTTAAATAAAATATAAAAAAAAAAAAGTCAGTTAAATAGTGAGGCGGTGATGCAGTGAGGCAGTGAGGTAGTGAGCAGTGTGATAGTTAGGCAGTGAGGTAGTGAGGCAGTGAGGCAGTGATGTAGTGAGTCTGTGGGGTATTGAGGCAGAGGCGGTGAAGCAGTAGGACAGTGATGTAGTGAGGCAGTGAGGTAGTGAGGCAGTGAGGTAGTGAGACAGTGAGGTAGTGAGGCAGTGAGGCAGTGAGACAGTGAGGCAGTGAGGTAGTTAGGCAGTGAGATAGTGAGGTAGTGAGGCAGTGAGGTAGCGAGGCAGTGAGGTAGTGAGGCAGTGAGGCAGTCAGGTAATGAGGCAGTGAGGTAGTGAGGTAGTGAGGCAGTGAGGTAGTGACTTACTGAGGCAGTGAGGCAGTGAGGTAGTGAGATACTGTGGCAGTGATGCAGTGAGATAGTGAGGTAGTGAGGCAGTGAGGTGTGAGGTAGTGAGGCAGTGATGCAGGTAGGCAGTAATGCAGTGATGCTGTGAGGTAGTGAGGCAGTGAGGTAGTGAGGCAATGAGGTAGTGGGCAGTGAGCCAGTTATGTAGTGAGGTAGTGAGGTAGTGATGCAGTGAATCAGTAAGGTAGTAAAGCAGTTATGTAGTGAGGTACTGAGGTAGTGAGGTACTGAGGCAGTGAGGCAGTGAGGTTAGTGAAGTACTGAGGCAGTGAGGTAGTGAGGCAGTGAGGCAGTGAGGCAGTGAGGTAGTGAGGTAGTGAGGCAGTGAGGTAGTGGGGTATGAGGCTCTAAGGCAGGTAGTGAAGCAGTGGGACAGCGAGGCAGTGAGGTAGTGAGGCATGAGGTAGTGAGGTAGTGAGGGCAGTGAGGTAGTGAAGCAATGAGGAAGTGAGGTAGTGAGGCTGTGGGGCAGTGTGGTAGTGAAGCAGTTGGCAGTTGGACAGTGAGGTAGTGAGGCAGGTAGTGAGGCTTTGAGGCAATAAAACAGTGAGGTAGTGAGGCAGTGATGCAGTGAGATAGAGAGTTAGTGAGACAGTGAGGTAGTGAGGCAGTGAGGTAATGAAGTAGTGAGGTAGTGGGGCAGTGAGGTAGTGAGGCAGTGAGAGGTAGTGAGGCAGTGAGGCAGTTAGGTAGTGAGGCAGTGAGGTAGTGAGGCTTTGACGCAGTGAGGTAGTGATGCAGTGAGGTAGTGAGGCAGCGAGGCAGTGAGTAGTGAGGCAGTGAGGCAGTGAGGCAGTGAGGTAGTGAGGGTATTGAGGCAGTTAAGCAGTGAGGTAGTGAGGCATTGAGGCAGTGAGGTATTGAGATAATGAGGTATGAGGCTTTGAGGCAGTGAAACTGAGGTAATAATGCAGTGAGGTAGTGAGGTAGTTAGGTAGTGAGGTAGTGAGGTAATGAGGCAGTTGTGGTAGTGAGGCAGTGAGGTAGTGAGGCAGTGTGATAGTGAGGCAGTGAGGTAGTGAGGCAGTGAGACAGTGAGTAGTGAGTCAGTGAGTATTGAGGCAGTGAAGCAGTGAAGCAGTGGGGCAGTGAGGCAATTAGTGAGGCAGTGAGGCAGTGAGGCAGTGAGGTAGTGAGGTAGAGAGGTATTGAGGCAATGAGGTAATGAGACAGTGAATGATGAGGTAGTGAGGTAGTGAGGCAGTGAGGTAGTGAGGCAGTGAGGCAGTGAGGTAGTGAGGCAGTGAGGTAGTGAAGCAGTGATGCAATGAGGCAGTGAGGCAGTGAGGTAGTGAGGCATTGATGCAGTTAGGTAGTGAGGCAGTGAGGTAGTGAGGTAGTGAGGTGGTGAGGCAGTGATGCATTGAAGTAGTGAAGAAGTGATGCAGTGAGATATTGAGGCATTGAGGTAGTGAGGTATGAGCCAGTGATGTAGTGAGATAGTGAGGTAGTGAGGGAGTGAGGGAGTGAGGTAGTGAGGCAGTGATGTAGTGAGGTAGTGAGGCAGTGATGCAGTAAGGTAGTGAGGTGGTGAGGCAGTGATGTAGTGAGGTAGTGAGGAAGTGAGGAAGTGACCCAGTGATGCAGTAGTGAGGTAGTAAGGTATTGAGGCAGTGAGGCAGTGAGGTAGTGAGGCAGTGATGTAGTGAGGCAGTGAGGGAGTGAGGTAGTGAGGCAGTGATGTAGTGAGGTAGTGAGGACAGTGATGCAGTAAGGTAGTGAGGTGGTTGAGGGCAGTGATGCATTGAAGTAGTGAAGAAGTGATGCAGTGAGATATTGAGGCATTGAGGTAGTGAGGTAGTGAGCCAGTGATGTAGTGAGATAGTGAGGTAGTGAGGGAGTGAGGGAGTGAGGTAGTGAGGCAGTGATGTAGTGAGGTAGTGAGGCAGTGATGCAGATAAGGTAGTGAGGTGGTGAGGCAGTGATGCAGTGAGGTAGTGAGGCAGTGAGGTAGTGAGGTAGTTAGGCAGTGATCCATTGAGGTAGTGAGGTAGTGAGGCAGTGAGGCAATGAGGGAGTGACCCATTGATGTAGTGAGCAATGAGGCAGTGAGGCAGTGAGGCAGTGAAGTAGTGAGGCAGTGAGGTAGTGAAGTTAGTGTGTCAGTGAGGCAGTGAAGTAGTGAGGCAGTGAGGTAGTGAGGTAGTGAGGCAGTGAGGCAGTGAGACAGTGAAGCAGAGACAGTGAGGCAGTGAGTCAGTGAGACAGTGAGACAGTGAGACAGTGAGACGGTGAGACAGTGAGGCAGTGAGTCAGTGAGACAGTGAGACAGTGAGGCAATGAGACAGTGAGACAGTGGGGCAGTGAGACAGTGAGACAGTGAGGCAGTGAGACAGTGAGACAGTGAGGCAGTGAGACAGTGAGACAGTGAGACAGTGAGGCAGTGAGACAGTGAGACAGTGAGGCAGTGAGACAGTGAGACAGTGAGGCAGTGAGACAGCGAGACAGTGAGACAGTGAGGCAGTGAGACAGTGAGACAGTGAGACAGTGAGGCAGTGAGACAATGAGACAGGCAGTGAGACAGCGAGACAGTGAGACAGTGAGGCAGTGAGACAGTGAGGCAGTGAGACAGTGAGACAGTGAGGCAGTGAGGCAGTGAGACAGTGAGACAGTGAGGCAGTGAGGCAGTGAGACACTCAGCTTCTCCCACTTTGTAAAGTTGTCAAATGGTGATTTTAACGAATTAGCAAAAAAATATACAAAATCGGTAAAAAAAACTGCCGATAATTCACTACATGTTTAGGTTAGGTTAGGTTAGGTACTTGTAGAAATAAAGATTATTATTACTATAATTGTTTTATTAAACTGACAAATAGATGAATAAAACATGTGTACAGCACCTAGAAACTGCACTTACTAGCTTTCTATTAACGCTGATGGCTTAGCGCTTCTTTTTGATTATAATAATAATATTAACGCTGAAGCTTTATTGACCCGCTACAGGTGCTGAGGAATGGGAGGTGATGCTGCAGCGCTACATCTCGGAGACCAACGCTCAGGAGAGAGTCAAGCTAGCACTTGGACTGGCTAACAGCAAGGAGGACTGGATAATTCAGAGGTAAGACACTTGGTAAGGTAACACTGGGCCTAGCTAACAACAAGGAGGACTGGATAATTCAGAGGTAAGACACTTGGTAAGGTAACACTGGGCCTGGCTAAAAACTAGGAGGACTGGATAATTCAGATGTAAGACACTTGGTAAGGTAACACTGGGCCTGGCTAACAACAAGGAGGACTGGATAATTCAGAGGTAAGACACTTGGTAAGGTAACACTGGGCCTGGCTAAAAACTAGGAGGACTGGATAATTCAGAGGTAAGACACTTGGTAAGGTAACACTGGGCCTGGCTAACAGCAAGGAGGACTGGATAATTCAGAGGTAAGACACTTGGTAAGGTAACACTGGGCCTGGCTAAAAACTAGGAGGACTGGATAATTCAGAGGTAAGACACTTGGTAAGGTAACATTGGGCCTGGCTAACAGCAAGGAGGACTGGAGAGGTAAGGCACCTGGCCTGTGGTCATACAGTAAAATCACATTGATTTTTCTATATTAAACTAACATTGATAGTTCCACAATAAACTTTGATAGTAGACATTAAACTTACATTGATCCACATTTAATTTTTCTACAGTAATCTTAGTTGTTTTAGTTACAGTTTAAACTTTCATATATAATTATACCTTAAGCTTTCATTAATAGTTCCACATAAAAATTACGATGATAGTTCCACAATAAACTTAACTTTGATAATTCCACATTAAACTTACGCTCATAGAGCCACAATAAACTTACGTTTCGCTCTCCAGAACCATCGCCAATGGAAACGTTGTCACAATAAAATGCCATATTAGTTCCACTTGTGTCTTTTTACGTAACATATTGTCGGTAATTCTAGCAACATTAATACAATGGTGGTACATAGATGTTAAGTGTTTATGTATATTGTATAAAGTTTAACCATTGACTCACCAGGCTGTTGATGGTGTCGAGGAACGAAAGTGTAGTAAGGAGCCAAGACTACTTCAGTCTTCTGAACGACATCGCGAAAAATCCCTGGAGCACTTACATTGTCTGGAATTTCGTCAAGTAAGTTGTGTTTCGTTATGTCAGTGTAATTAAAGTTTCGGTTTGAGTGATGGGAGCGAGAAACAAGTCACTCTTCTGACTTTTTTGGGTTATCCCGGGTTCTCTACACATAATCTGCAATGTATAATAATCCATGTATCTGTATTTGTGTATACCTGAATAAACTTACTTAAGAGGGCAACGCCTGACTAATTCTACACATTATAAGCACAAGAGAAAAAAAATACAAACAACTGAGCGAATTCCAATCGCCAATCCAAAGCAAATACCAAATTGTAATAGAATAAATTTTCAACTATTACTACAACGACTTACGTGAAAAGTGTCATCACACAAACATTATGAAACAAAGATGGAAAATCAACACTTAACAGACTAACACGACAAGATAAAAGCATCTTTTTTTTACATCGTTGAATATAATAACTAAATGTTATATTACTGCATCACATTTCAAAGTGTAATCCTATTTTCATCATGAATCAATCAAATTTAGCCAGGTAAGACACATATGCAACAGTTAGGTATCTTTATTTTGAAACGTTTCGCCTACACAGTAGGCTTCTTCAGTCGAGTACAGAAAAGTTGATAGAAGGAGAAGAGACTTGAAGACGATGTAATCAGTCCATCACCATTGAAGTTTTGAGGTGGTCAGTCCCTCCCCCTCAAAACTTCAAGGGTGATGGACTGATTACATCGTCTTCACATCTCTTCTGCTTCTATCAACTTTTCTGTACTCGACTGAAGAAGCCTACTGTGTAGGCGAAACGTTTCGAAATAAAGATACCTAACTGTTGCATATGTGTCTTACCTAATAACCTGTCGATATTTTTATACAATTTTAATATTCACTCAAAATTTAGCCACACTAAAACACCAAGAAAATAAACGTTAATATGATTGGTATGAACCTTGGTAATTGATACCGAAAAATTGATTTCGAAAAATGCTTGAAGAGCAGCAGATATATCAGATAATTTTTTTAGTTGTAGCTACAGTGAAAGTAAAAGGTAGATGGGATACAAGGAGAATGGTATCAACGAGTAAGAGAGAGGTGAAAGTATATATAAACTAAAGGAGGAGGAAGAGAAAAATATAATCAGTTACTGTAGAAAGATGGGCTAGTGTATAGGTAATGAGGAAGTTGAAGAGGTATGAGGCAGATTTAATAATGCAACGTTAGAGTGTTCAGCGGAAATTTGTGGATTTAGGAGGGTGGCTGTGGAAGGGAAGAGGAGCGATTGGTGGAATGATGAGGTAAAGAGAGTGGCAAGAGAGAAAAAGTTAGCATATGAGAGGTTTTAATAATGCAGAAGTGATATAAGGAGTGAGGAGTATATGGAGAGAAAAAGAAAAGAGATTTGTGAAGGAATGTACAAAGAGAGCAAATGAGAGCAAAAGTTTTGGGGATTAATAAGTTGAGAAAGCTTAGGGAACTAATGGATTTGACAAAAGCAGAAGAGGAGAGTTTATTAAATAAGGAGTTGGACGCATTGGGAAGATGGAGGGAATATTTTGAGTAAGTGTTAAATGTTGATGAAGAGCTGGAAGCTATGATTGGCCAGGGAGGTATAACATCCTTTAGGAGTAAGGAAGAGCCAGATGTGAGTGTGGGGGAGGTGCATGAGGCGTTGGGTAGAATGAAAGGGGGTAAAGTAACTGAGATTGATGGGATAAGATTTTGTTCGTATTTTAAACCCGGAGGGTTAGCCAACCAGGATAACCCATGAAAGTCGGTACATCGTCTAGGACTGTTTTTCCATTGGGGTTCTTCAAACTTATCCCCCAGGATTCGACTCATACTAGTCGGCTATCACCCAGGTACCTACATACTTGCTAGATGAAAGGGGGCAACAGGAATTTCCACCCAACCGGAGATCGAACCACGGACACTTAGTGTGTGAGGCAAGAGTGTTGCCTACCAGGCCATGGGATACCACAAGACAGAAATATTAAAGGCAGATGGGTATATTCTTTTGAAGTGGCTGGTGCCTCTATTTAATATAAGAAAGAGGGGAAGGTACCTTGGGACTGGCAGAGTGTGCAAAGTTCCTTTGTATAAAGGCATGATTTTGTAGATTTTTTTCGTCCGAGTTCCTTTTTTTTAATAAGCGTACATGTCTTCCTTTCATATTCAACTTTCATTAAGATCGACCAACAAACAAATGAATAAAAAATATTTACACGGAAAATTGGATTTGGCAGTATTGCAGCAGTATTACTTTACGTATTGGAACTGCCAGAACTATTTTTGACACTGATTCCTAATAAAACAATGCTAAACCGATTTATTATGAAATTAAATACTATAAATATACCTTATTTTCATCCCCCCAGATTAGATTTTACCACCGAAGTGACTAATTTATTGTGCACACTATATCCATCCTGTGGACGGTAGCGCAAGAGCATATGGATACACAAAAGGCCTAGGAACTAGGCCCCAAAAGGGTTAACAGGTGTACATATGTTTTTTTTTATCTACATATCTACAGTTCACTTATCTGTTACAAGCAATTTTAGGAAATTTACTTAGTAAATAAGATATCTTGACATGTCACATAGGTTATTATACTGTCTGTCTCTGTATTCCACAATAAGTGGACAATTAAGCACATAGTGTTCAAGACAGTGACCATATGCCTGATCACATAATTTGCATTTAGTTTGATCATCATCTGTGTGTCTCCCAAACTGCCAGAAGTACATGTAACCAAGCCTAAGCCTGGCCACTAAGTATGTAAGTAAGTTTATTCAGGTATATACAAATACAGTTACATAGCTTATCATACATAGCAGTCAGTCTGTTTACATTGCACGTTGCTCCATAAACATACTTATCTATGTTCATGTTATCATAGTGGGTTATAGATCTACTCAGGCTTCTAACTGCATTCCTATAACAATCATTTTCATTATTTACTTCTCTCCTAATATTATTCCTAATGCTAGACACAGTTATACCAAAGTTATATTCTACATTCTCCTTCTGGGTACTCTTCTTGGCTAACATATCAACTTTATCATGAAGGAGTAATCCAATGTGTGATGGGATCCATAGCAATTGTACATTAATTCCTTTGTCCTGGATTTTTGAGTATCTATACCTGGCTTCTCCAATGAGCATGTTGTTGGAGTCATTATATGAGTCAAGAGCCTTCAGTGATGACATAGAATCAGTAATGATGATAAGAGTCAAGTTAGCTTTAGCGCCATTACGATTGCAAACAATTCAGTTTGCAATGTAGACGCCCAGTTGTTAATTCCCCCCCAAAAATGAAGTTATTAAGTTTTTGACATGTTGTAAAATATCTGCCTTTTAACCTATCTCCCTCACGAATGACAAAAAATTGTGCTATTGTTAAAATATTTTCACCAGTTTGTAAAACATTTATTGTTAAAATTTAGTTGCGAAAATACATTTAATCTGTTCATTAATAATGGATGATGATCAACAAATAGATCGTTAACTTTTTTCCGAGATATCGAGGAAAACGCGGCCAAACCTATCACTTGGGAACAAATATTTTGTTTAATTATTTTTTTTTTTTGAGACAGAAATCGCGCTATTTATGAGTCTTACGTGTAGATGAGTCATTACCTCTATATTTTGGTCATGATGGTGACCAGATCTACCTGTAGTTCATTACCTTTGTAACTTGCTCATCTATCAAAACTTTGGGGCCCAGTCCTTGGACCAATTATGTTCCTCCGTAATCTTTTGACTACCACCCACACGATGGGTATGTGATGGAAGTGGAAAGTACAGTGTCTACACTCTGAAGGACGGCTGGAGATATGTTGTAGATTTTGAACTGTAGTATCGACACGCCACAGGCAAGACAGTCATGGAGT